TTTTTTAGTTTCATGTTTGAATTTAATTAAATTACCATTTGCAGTTCCTAGAAAAAAATGTTTTCTAATTAATTAACAGAAAATATGGTCAAAAATGTAGTTTTCAGTGTTGTAAAACTTGAAAATTTAATATTTTTTTGTTGCTGAAATAAACTTAGAATTTCTGCAATCATTTTTTTTCAGTTTCATGTTCAAATTTAGTTAAATGAATATTCGCAGTTTTTAGAAAAATTTGCTTCATAATTTATTAACCAAATTTGCTGCGGTTATGATATCTGAAATTTTAACCCTTTTTCTGCTAATGAAATAAACTAAAAATAAAAAAATAATTTTTTAGGTCCTCTGGGTTATTTAAATGGCTTGTCTGAAGCAAAACCAATTTATTTATTCTCGAGAATAAAAGCTTATCCCAACTTTTTTATTACTATATTTTATTTTATTGGAGCATATTTCTTAATATCTTGTGCATATTTTGCGAAAATACGTGCATATACCAGGTGAATAAAAAGTATGGATCCAAACGTTTTTTGCTTAAACTATTTATTTCTTGAAAAAACTAATTGATGAGTGATAAAGTACTATAAAAATGTGATGATTTAACAAGAATAAAATTTTTCGAAATTTCCTTTTGTTTTTGAGTTCTACAAAAAAAATATTTTTTTAAATGGCAGCATACTATAAAATCATTTTTCTTATAAAAGCTATACTCTAAGGATTACAACTATCTTATTAATTTAATTTTTTCAAAAAATTTTTTCACATAAATTGCAGTTTTGACAAAAAAAATCGCATAACTCAAAAACAAAACAAAATTTCGTTCTGAAAATACGATCACGTTTTTTATACTACTTTAATTTATATTAATTATTATTTTCTGGAGGCAAATGATTAAAAATAAAACCGCTTGGTTCCATACTTTATATTCACCCTGTATATGCGCATATTTTACGAATTTTTCGTGCATATAATCTTACTCCTCACCAATGGGAAGGGATGCACGTAGTTTTGCACATGCAACAGCGTCGCCCACCAATATTCCTGGCACGGTTTCTGGACAATATCCAGCATTTCGTGCCACAACGGCCCTGAGCCTAAGTGCTGGACCAGCGTCGAATACCAAAGAACAACGAGGGCCAAGGGCGGTGTTATTCTCATATAACGGTACAGATAAAAAAGCACCCAATTCATCTTCTGCGTTTTTTCCACTTCATGAAAAAAGCCCACACTCACCAGCATTCCACTTATCATGAAAAATGTATCCACGCAAAGAGTTCCTCCGGTAATAGCCGTGCTTCTATAGTACAAAACCCACTTAAAAAAACACATTAATGTGGTGTGTTTCAGGAGTAAAACCCCACATCCATAATTTTCAGACTGTTGACAACTGGAAAGAACATCAACATGAGATATCTGTGCCCAATTACGACGTAACAAGTGCTCAAAACGCGAATTCCATGCACGCAATCCAGGCCGGAATTGGGGCCCTTGGAGAAGACTCGTCTGGAATTCGCATAAGCTGAAAATGTAGTCACGAGTTTATGTTTTGATGCTGAAATCTGAAATTTATCTGGGACTTGCATGGGAATCCCTGAATTACCCTCATCTGACGTGAAATAGAACACATGCAACAGGGATGAAATTGCAACGATGCTGAGAAAACCCAATAAAAAAACGCTGAAAAAAGTCGTTAAACTTGAAAATTACCTGAAAAAATTACATTATGGATAGTTCGGTTGCGTTTAAAGGCTCGTCGTCGAAGATTGTGACGCAGTCTTTGTCACGGAGCGAAATTGTGACGTTTAAGCCTTCAGAAAGGCTGTAAAATAATTTTGAAAAGTGGCTGAAAACGTCTTGGGTTGAGCAAGAGTCGGGGACGCACACTGACCATGCCAGGGCTGCGGAGCTCACGAATTGGTGCACTTTTGAAAATCGCTGAAATTTACAGTAATAGGGGTTTGCCACAACCCATTTCAGATTTCAGAGATTAAAATGTGCGCACTGAAACCGTAATTTAAAGCAGTTTCAGCGTCCACACTATTAACTCAAATGGTATTTCTCAATAATCGCCAACTATGAGAGAGGAAATAGCGAAAATGTTACGTTGTTTCGAACAATTTAAAAAAAATATATTTTCCAATTATAATAAAAGCAAAAAACACATAAGCTTAGGTTTTCTATAATCAATTTTTTCAGTTTGACCTAAAAATGTAGTTTCTTCTGTTGTAAAACTTGTAATTTTAACACTTATTTCGAGCTTTTTTTCATACTGAAAAAACATTTAAAAAATTCTTTTAGGTTTGCTGTAATCAATTTTTTTCAGTTTCAAGATCGAATTTAATTAAATGAATATTTGCAGTTCTTTAAAAAATTGCTTTGTAATTAATTTACTTTTACAAAATATGATCAGAAGTATAGTTTCTTCTGTTGTAAAAGTTGGAATTTCAACACTTTTTTTGCTATTAAAATAAGCTTAAAAGGAACTTTTTTTAATTATCTTAAATAAATATTTGCAGTTTCTAGAAAAAAATTGCTTTGTAATTATTTAACCGAAAATATGATCCAAAAATGTACCATATTTAGTTTCTGTTGTTGTAAAATTTGATATTTTAACTCTTTTTTTGCCACTGAAATAAACTTTAGGTTTTCTGTAATCAATTTTTTTCAGTTTCAAGTTCAAATTTAATTAAGTGAATATTTGTAGTTTTTAGTAAAATTTGCTTTATAATTTATTAGCCCAAAATATGATCCAAAAATTTTGTTTCTGCTGTTGTAAAACTTGGAATGAACACCTTTTTTTCCTATTGAAATAAGCTTTTAAACGATCTTTTTAGGTTATTTGTGATCATTTTTTTTTCAGTTTTAGGTTCGATTTTAATTTACAACATTTCCTAAAAAAAATTGTTTTGTAATTAATTAACCGAAAATATGACCGAAAAATATAATTTCTGCTACTTGGAATATTAACACTTTTTTGTTAATGAAATAAACCTAAATTTCCTATAATCAAGTTTTTTCAGTCTCAGGTTTAAAAAAATTGCTTTGTAATTGTAATTGTAATTAACCGAAAATACATATAATACAAAAATATAGTTCCTGCTGTTATAAAACTTAGAATTTCAATACTTTTTTTGCTGCTGAAATAGGCCTAAAAAGATCATTTAGGTTTTCTGTAATTAATTTTTTTTCAGTTACAAGGTCGAATTTATTTAAATGAATATTTGCAATTCCTATAAAAAATTTGCTTTATAATTAATTAAGAGAAAATAAGATCCAAAAATATAGTTTCTGCTGTTGTAAAATTTGATGTTTTGACACTTTTTTTGTTACTGAAATAAACTTAGGTTTTCTATAATCGATTTTTTTCAGTTGCAAGTTTGTATATAGTGAATATTTGCAGTTTTTAGAAAAAATTGCTTTATAATTTATTAACCCAAAATATGACTTAAAAATATAATTTCTGCGGTTGTAAAATCTGAAATTTTAATCCATTTTTTGCTAATGAAATAAACTTAAATCAAAAAAAATTTACGTCCTTTGTAATTAAGTTTTTTCAGTTTTAGGTTCGCATTTATTAAAACCAATATTTTCAGTTAAAAAAAAATTGCTTTGTAATTACATAATTAACAAAAAATATGAGCCAAAAATTTTGTTTCTGCTGTTTTAAAACTTAGAATATTAACAATTTTTTTCCTATTGAAATAAGCTTTTAAAACGACCTTTTTAGGTTTTCTGTGATCAATTTCTTTTTAATTTTAGGTTCATTTTTAATTCAATGAATATCAGCATTTTCTAAAAAAAATGTTTTGTAATTAATTAACCGAAATTATGACTCAAAAATATAGTTTCTGCTACTTGAAATTAACATTTTTTGTTATTGAAATAAACCTAAATTTCAATTTTTTTCAGTTTCAGGTTTAAAAAAAAATTACAGAAAATATGATCCAAAAATGTAGTTTCTACTGTTCTAATTTGTATAACTTGGAGTTTTAACACTTTTTGCTGCTGAAATAAACCTAAAAAGATTGTTTTTAGTTTTCCTGTAAACAATTTTTTGTTTTGTTTGCAGTTCCTGGAAAATTTTATTTGCTTTGTAATTAATTAAAACATAAACATTAGTATCGAATAAAACATTTTAATGAAAAGCTGCACTTTTCATTATGAAAGCGTGTCAATTATTTTAATTGGCTGAAATTCAGCGATTTATTCTTGAAATCTTACTCTTCTGGAAATGTTCCGAAACTGTAGAATTTTTTGCAAAAGCTCGATATCGGGTTTGACTTTAAGCGAGCAAAATTTGCCCCTAATTGGCCCATGGTTGGTACTCCTGTAAATTTGTATACATTGCTGAAAGGCCCCGAATTCAAACAAGTTCCCCTCCAATATCCCCGCTTGCAATTTCGAAGACGAATCAAACACTAAAACACACAACGCTAATTTTGCATAAAACTTACCTTTATTTACTTTTCAAAGCCCAAGGCTCGAAAGCTCTCAGGCCGACGCTAAGCTCCTTCGAATGCTCCTTACAAAGCTGATTAGATTCTTCTCCTAAAGTATACATCGCCAAAAGCTGGTTCATGAATAAGCCCTGTTTCAGGTTTAATTTCACCGGCTGTCGGATTTTTTCAGGACCGCTACTCTCATTTTTTATTGAGCTTATTGGCGGAGTCACGGAATTTTCAGTACATTTCACAAATGAACATATTGAAAGGAAAATTGGAACGGTTTGGAGCTTCATATTGGAGTAAATTCGAAGCGAGTTCAAACAGTTTTTATAACTTGCAAGTTTTCTCGAAATTATTAGCTGTCAAAGTGTCTGTCGAACGAAATTGAGGCTTCAATTTTTAATTATGGAAACTTCTTTTTCGATAAAACGAAATTTGAATTATTACACAACTACTGAGCTTAATTGGTAATAAATTTGCACCGATTTGTGCGACTCTCGTATAAATTATTCCACAGGGAATGCTAATTGAATTTTTACGACCTAATTAAGGGCGGAAATGAGCCTTTTTTACACACTTTCACACAATTTCTGTTTCAAAACTTGGAAAAATTTGTGCATTTTATTATCTATATTCGACCTTCTAGTGTTAGAAAGAATGCAAAAATGAGAATATTTCAGGAGAAAATGTCTAAACCATGAAAAATTGCTGTAAATTTTTAATAAAAACGATGTTTTTGAAGCATATTTGATCCCTTGCGCCATCTGGTTAAAACTGGCATAAGAAATCTACAGAGTGATCAATAGGAGAAGACCTGTGAGTCGGTATCTGGATCTAGCAGGCCTTACAGTGGCCTTGGTTAAAATTGACGTTTTCTCTAAAACCGCATACAGAAAACTGACTTACCTACTTGTTTTCAAGATCTGGTGATTTTCTTGCTAGTCTAGTGATTATTTTTTTTGCAAAATTGGGTCAAAATCTAGCCGAAAAAACACAAAATGTTTTGACCAGAATCTCAGTTTTTTTGCAAGATTTTGGTAAAACAAAAAATTAAGAAATTAAGTTGAAAATTAAATTATTTTTTTCGCAAGATTTTGTCATATCGACACAAAAACACTAAATGGTTTTTTTATTTGGTGAATTTGGCCTAGCCTGGTGATTATTTTGTTTGTTTCACTCAATTTAACTGGTTTTTGAGCAAAATTGAGCCAATAAACCACATAGTTTGGCCGAAAAGCATGTTTTTCTACCAAAATCTTAGTTTTTGGAGAGATTTTGATAAAATAACCCATAAAAAAACAAAATATTAACTCAAAAAAGGCACTTTTGTTTTTTCTAGAGTTCAAACAGATTTTTAAGAAACTTACTAAATTGTTTTTTTTATATAACTGTAAGGCCTTAACCACTCACTTTATGTAAAAAACTGTTTGAAAGATGAAATCGTTATTTTTATTTGGTAAAAATTTGTCAACTTTTTCAACTGGGATCTGGTGAATTTCTTCCTAGCCTGGTGATAATTTTCTTCTCGATTTAACTGATTTTTTTTTAAAAATGAGTTAAAAATTAGTCGAGAAACCACATAATTTGGCCGAGAAACATTTTTTGTACCAAAATCTCAGTATTTGCGAGATTATGATAAAACAATCCAAAAAATCAACAAATTATATATTTTTGCAGTTTTCTAGAGTTGTTTTTCAGTTAGAACGCAATTATTTCGCAAAACTTTGGCAAAAACACGCCGAAAAATTACAATTTAAGCCAAAAATAATGACATTTTTAGATTTTTTTCGATAGTTTAAGCAGATTTTTAAGCTGAAAACTAACTAAATTGTTTTTTACCTAACTCTTAGGCCGTAACCATTTACTTTATCTAAACAAAACTGTAAACTTTCAAAACTATTTGAAAGTTGAAATTGTTATTATTATTTGGTAAAAATAGTTGTAAATTGAGCAATTTTTTCAAACAATTCGGTTCTGGTAATTTTTTTCTAGTCTGGTAATTATTTTGTTTGTTTCACTCGATTTAACTGATTTTTTGAGGAAAATGGAGTCAAAAATTAGTCGAGAAACCACATAATTTGGCCAAGAAACATTTTTTGTACCAAAATCTCCGTTTTTTGCGAGATTTTGATAAAACAATCCAAAAAATCAACAAATTAAGTCGAAAATTATATAATTTTTCAGATCTCGATGGTTTTAGCACGTCTTTCAGCTAGAAACGCAATTATTTCGCCAAAAACACGCCGAAAAATTACATTTTAAACCGAAAAATGACATTTTTGGGTTTTATCTAAGCATATTTTTAAGCTGAAAACTTTTTTCAAGTCAAAAGTCATTAAATTGTTTTTCCTTACCTAACTCTTACTTCACTTTATGTAAAAAACCGTAAATTTTCGATTCTATTTAAAAGATTTAAATTGTTATTTTTATTTGGTGAAAGTAGGTGTAAATTTGACAACTTTTGCAACTCGGATCTGGTGATTTTTTTGCTAGCCTGGTAATTACTTTGTTTGTTTCACTGAATTTAACTAATTTTAGAGCAAAATGGAGTCAAAAATTAGCTGAGAAACCACATAAATTGGCCGAGAAACATTTTTTGTATCAAAATTTCAGCTTTTTGGGGGATTTTGATAAAACAATCCAAAAAATCAACAAATTATTTATTTTTTTCCGTTTTCTAGCGTTGTTTTTCAGTTAGAACGCAATTATTTCGCAAAACTTTGCTAAAAACACGCCGAAAAATTACAATTGAAGCCAAAAATAATGACATTTTTAGTTTTTTTCGATAGTTTAAGCAGATTTTTAAGCTGAAAACTAACTAAATTGTTTTTACCTAACTCTTAGGCCTTAACCATTTACTTTATCTAAACAAAACTGTAAACTTCAAAACTATTTGAAAGTTGAAATTGTTATTATTTGGTAAAAATAGTTGTAAATTGGGCACTTTTTCAACTCGGATCTGGTAATTTTCTTTCTAGTCTGGTGATTATTTTGTTTGTTTCACTCGATTTAACTGACTTTTTCAGCAAATTGGAGCCAAAAATTAGCCGAGAAACCACACAATTTGCCCAAGAAACATTTTTTGTTCCATAATCTCAGTTTTTTGTGAGATTTTGCTAAAACAATCTAAAAAATCAACAAACTAAGTCGAAAATTAGATAATTTTTTCAGTTCTTGTGCGTCTTAGCACGTCTTTCAGCTAAAAACGCAATTATTTCCCCAAAAACAGACCGAAAAACTACATTTTAGGTCAAAAAATGGCACTTTTGGTCTTTTTCCAAGTTTTAGCAGATTTTTTAACTGGAAACTCTTTTTTTGCGAGATTTTGTCAAACCGAATAAAAAATCACTAAATTGTTTTTTTGCATAACTCAAGCTTTAACCACTCAGTTTATGTAAAAGGAAAGATTTAAATCGTTTTTTTGTAATTTGGCGAAAATGGGTGCAAAGTCAACTTTTTCAATTCGGATTTGGTGAATTTTATTTTTTTAGTCGACAGCACTGTGGGTATTTTGGTGGTGTGAAAAGCACTGCATTATAGTCAATATTTTTATTGTAAATAATTATTTTTCATATTTATATATTTACATATGTCAAAAATATATTAAAACGCTTATTACTTCAAAGCAATAAAAACAATAATACCTAATCGAATAAACTTGTTACAAACAAACTTAACAAACAGAAAAACCTTGAAACTGTCACAATATACAAATTATATTGAGCAAAGGTATTAAACTTGTCCTTTTTATTCCCATTTTTTATATAATAATATACATAGTTTAGCAAAAGGCAAAGGTACTTAAATATCCATCATACAAAAATGTATAATACTATTCTTCACTTCGATTCACCCTTGGATAAAGCTGAAACAAAAAAAATTATAAGAATAGTAGTTAACGCGAGAGGCGACCGCTAGGGGCCGAGGGCATTTTATTCCCTTACCCCAAGAAGATTTCTAGGAACATATCCCTCCTTATCACCTAGTTTCGACCACCACCATTCCCTCTCATTCTCATCCCCTTTCCTCAAAACGGTCAATTGTTGTCCGGCTTTGAAACTCAACTCATCGGCTTGCTGCGCCGTATAGTCGAACACTGCATACACCACCCCTCCTGACAAAATCCCCAGTTTCTCTTGCACACCTTAAAAAAATCGTAAACGAGTTGTAGAAAAAGCCAAGTATGCAACTCACTGTATAAATACTCCGAGCAGCCGTCGAACCCCTCCTCGTCCTCCTCGCACTTCTCCGCGGCTGTTTCATGGTCGCTCAACGTGGTTGCAAAGATGCAAGCCCCATGCTCGACCAGAAACTTCACCATTGCAACATTGTTGCAACTCGCGGCGCAATGCAACGGCGTCCACCCGTCACTATCCTGCGCGTTGACATCACACCCAAACTCCACTAAATACTTAACAATTTCGAAATGCCCCGCACAGATGGCGTTATGCAACGCTGTGATTCCCTCATCGTTGGCAGCACTGGGATTGGTGACTTGCGTGGCCGTCTTCTTCACCAACTCCAACTCCCCTTCAAGACTCGCATCCAGGAGGAGGGCCAAAGGGTCAAAACTCACCCTCCTGGCAAGATTGGACTTCCCCGACTTCAAATTACCCTTCTTGCAACGTCGCACCACCCCGTTTTCGTCCTCCTTCACCTCATCATCATCATCACTCCTCTCTTCGGGTAATTGGAGGGTTTGTTCGGGCCGTTTCGCCACTTTCGTCGTGTTGTTTCGTAATTTTGGCAATTCCCCCAATTGCTGCTTCTTAATAGTGAGTGGTTTTGCTTTGATTGCCATCTCGTTGGGTTTGGGGGCGGAGTCGTCGGGGGGCTCGGTTTGGGGGAGTGGGGGCGGTTCAGGGTCAGTCAGGGTTTGCCGCGGGGGCGGTTTTGGCGGCAATGCCGGCTTGGCCACCTCAGGAGTGCTGGTGGCTTGGGGGGGCGATAGCACCTGGGTTTGGGGCTCCACTGGTTGGACTTTGATCGAGGATGTTTGGTAGATGTTTGAGGGGATGCTCGAGTGGTGGACCGACGTGGGGGCGACGCTACTGATGGGCTTCGGGGGCACGGGACCCTCAATTTGGCGCTTCTGGTTGAGTGGGGTTGCGATGTTCTTGTTAACTAGAGTCAAGGGGGCGCTATGGACTGTCATATGTGTCAAATTTGATATGTGTTCGTTATCTTTACTATCTGTATTGTCTATTTCGTTTCTCACTATTCGATTCGGTAATAAATTAACAGTAAATTTCGTGTTGTATGGCAAAGTTTGATATTTGGGGTCCGATTTTGAGACTGTAAACTCCTTAAGAGTGTCATTTTCGTAGCCCATTTTGTCTTGAGGCTCCTGATTGGGGGTTTGCAAGTCGTCTTTTTTGATATGGTACACGGGGTGATATGTGGGGGTTTCCTTTTGGCCGGTGCGCAAAGGGACGTGGTTGTAGGGCTCCACGGCGGCGATGTTACCCCTCGAAAGGCCATTTGGGGGTTGGTTGGCCGGTTTTCGGGCCTGTTCACCTGTCAATCTAATCAAAAAAAAATTATTTTAAGTTTTTTTGTGATTTTTGGTTCTACTAACCGAACTAGTTGGTGATAGGCCGCTTTATGCGAAGCTGCACTGATCTGATTGGCAAGTTGTTGATTTAGTAAGCGTTTCTTATGTAATCTCTCTTGTAATTCGGAAATTCGCTTGTCGATAGCGCTCATTTCCTCTTGCCGAGCTGTTAGAGCTTCTCGTTGTTGGTTTAGTCTTTGATTTTGTTGCTCATTTAGTTTGTTACGGTACTGGAAAACAACAAGAGGATTAGATAAAAATTGTGATCAATTTCCATTAGCAAAAATGTCTTCAATTTTCTATTATTCTTCGAGAAAATGGACAAATCAACGATTATTTTGTTTTTCCATTTTCTATATTAATTCAAAATTGAGCTTTTCAGTTAAAAACTCCTTGAAAAATGATTGTTGTTATCTCGGGTACTTCAAAACGACAAAACATTCTACATGAACTTTTATATACTATTCCTAAAAATTTCTTAAATTTTTTGGTGATTTTTGAAAGACTGCACTGCACCTTAATGAAAAATGGTCGTATTTAGATTTAAAAAATCCATTTCGAAGCTCCAAGTTTCTAGTTTTGGAAAAAGTTTTCTGAGCGACGGTTATTATGCAATCCTCAGAAATAGCGAGAGAAAAAAAATTCTAATTTTTTTATTCTTTTTTTTTTTGGTCCACTAACTTGGGGAAATTTGTATTAGTTAAATCAATAATACATGGACCGGATAGTTATGTTCTTTGATATTTCAGTTGATAACTGCTGGTTTGAGACAGAAACTAAATTATTTGCAAAGTTTTTGTATAAATTATTTAAGGGTTTTGAGCTAAAAAATTTCGCTGAAAACAGGCCAAAAAGCATTGTTTTAGGTCTAAATCACCACATTTTTAAAACAGAAACTGGCTTATTTTGAAAGATTTTGCTTAAATAGAACAGAAATTCCTCGTCCTAGTTTAGAATTTCACTATTTCAGACATGATTGAGCAATTTTGCTTATTTTTAAGCCAAAAATTCATAAGATTTTGTCAAAACAGATCAGAAAATCGTGCGATTAACCCTCAGAAACCAAAGAAAAGAAAACTTTGCACTCATTGCAAAATAAAGCTTGAAATATGTTATTTTTCTATGTTTCCGTGTATTTAGCGCGTTTTTTGTCAAAACAAGAAAAAAAAATGAAAGCCAATCTGAAATTCGTTATTTTCTCCTATTTCAATGAATTTACAGCGTGTTTCACTGAGAAACACAAAATTCTAAAGATTTTGTCAAAACAAAGAAGAAAAAATGAAAATTACTTCTGTCGTCCGTAATTTTTTATGATTTCGATAGATTTACAATGTTTTTTACTGTGAAACTCCAAATTGATCCAGAAGTTTTGTTAAAACAAGGTAAAAAATTGCTAAATTAAACCTGAAATGTGTTATTTCTGCTTATTTTAATAAATTTAGAGCAATTTCCTCTGAAAAATTACAAAATTCGAAAGATATGTTGTCCAAAATGAGCCTGAAATGTTTTATTTTTATTATTTTAATGAATTTAGAATTTTTGCGATTTTTCAGTTATTTTTTATTATTATTATTAGCTATTTTCGTTTTCCTTTTTTTTATACCTACAAAATATTTTATTACAAATTTGGGTTAAACTCTGATAGACCAAAAATCCAATCAAAAAGATTACCCAAATAACAGAGAATAAATATTTGTTTTGATAAAAATACACCGTGTCTCGGTTTCTTTGTTGTAATTAACAAAAAATAATATTTTTTGTATTTATCTTTTTTAGTACCTATGTATACAGAATTAAAAAATTACTTTAAAAAATCCAGACATTAAAACTGCTACTTTGAGACAGAAACTAAATTATTTTAAAAGATTTTTTATAAATAGCCCCAACAACTTACTTATTTTAAGGCTTTTGAGCTAAAACGCACTTAATTTAAAAAATTTCGCCAAAAACAGGAAAAAATCATCGTTTTAGGTCTGAATCAGCACATTTTCAAAACAGAAACTGGATTATTTCAAAAGATTTTGCTTAAATAGAACAGAAATTCCATGTTCTAGTTTAGAATTTCGCTATTTCAGATATTATTGACCAATTTTGCTTATTTTTAAGCCAAAAATTCAAAAGATTTTGTCAAAACAGATCTAAAAATCGTACGATTAACCCCCAGAAACGCAAAAAACAAACTTCGCACTAATTGCAAAACAAAAAAGAAAAATTGAAAAATTAAACTTTTTTTCCATGTATTTAGCGCGTTTTTTGTCAAAACAAGAAAAAAAAATTAAAGCAAATCTGAAATTTGTTATTTTCTCTTACTTCAATGAATTTACAGCGTGTTTGACTGAGAAACTCACAAAGTTCCAAAGATTTTGCCACAACAAAGAAGAAAAAATGAAAATTCGATAGATTTAGAATGTTTTTTACTGTAAAACTCCAAATTGAAAAGATCCAAAAGTTTTTGTCAAAACAAGGTAGAAAAATTGCAAAATAAAGCCTGAAATGTGTTATTTCTGCTTATTTCAATGAATTTAGAGCATTTTCCTTTGAGAAAATTACAAGATTCGAAATGAATTAAAATGTTCGCAATTTATTAGTTCTTTTATATTATTATTAGTTATTTTCGTTTTCTTTTTTTTTTGATACCTACTTGAAAACAATACAAATTATTAAATTTCAAAATATTTTATTACAAATTTGGATTAAAGAACTCTGATAGACCGAAAAAATTACCCAAATAACAAAAAATAAATATTTGTTAAAAACACACCGTGTCTTGGTTTCTTTTTTTTTCTTTGGGTCACCCTGTATGTATAAAATTTCTGAAAAATTTATTATATTATAATTGATGTATTATAATTATAATTGAGGTTTAATGTCTTTTATCATCGATAACTTAGCAACCAATGACCGCACAGAAAATATAAGAATAGTTTCAAAAATTGGAATAAATTCCCTACAAGTTGTTTTTACAATTAAAAAAAAACTTTTACACTCTCAACATTGATTTAAAAAAAAGAGAAAAAAGTAATTTTTTTGTTGTTTTAATAATAGCTCTATTAATTTTTAAATCGATCCATCAAACTGTTTTCTCGGATCGATTGATCAAGGTTTTACAAAATTTTTGAACATTGTGTAATCGTCATTACACTTTTTTTCGACTTTTCTTACAATTTTGCACGTTAAATCTGAAAAAGTTTTTTTTTTAATATTTGTGAAATTTTGTAAAAAATCAAGAAACAATATTGACTAATTTTTTACACAATTCAGCTTTTGCATACCCCAATTTTCTTATTTCAAATTAATTGCAAATTTT